GCCATCCTGTGTAAGAAATCACTTCTGCTCTATTGGCACGCAAGCACAATGCTGTCATTTTGAAACAATGGTGGTGGTCCCTCCTTAAGAACAGCAGGGCAGCTTCCTGCCTAGGAACCACGACTGGCATTTCAGCATTTCTGCTAAGTGAGTGCTATTGCTCTGAGAAGATGGTGTTGTCCACCTAAGAGCCTGCCACATTAGTGAGTTCAGAACAATCATCCAAGAGGTTGCATTAGATCCTCTCTCTAAGCATAAAGCCAGCAAACACAGAAGCCAGAAACAGAGAATGGACATATGCAGGGTTTCTGACAGCACTTGTAGTTTTACTAGATGACATTTCCGAGTGTGCAGTGCACGGTTTACATCAGGTTGTAAAACTTCAACACCTGACAGCAAATATCCCAGTTTTCCTAACTCTTCAAGAGTACTTAGAATAACTGTCACTTCACAAAAGCAGGGCTTTTTGCACGCTGCCACAGCAGAAATGAATACAGGTGACAGTGACTCAGGGTGCTTTGCCCACTGTCCACTGCTGAGTTGCAGCTATTCCAAGTCCGTGGAACCTCTTGCATAGCCAGCAGATAATTACTCTTGTCTTAAGCATCAGAGGCTCAAATTGCAAGCCCGAGGTCAGAACCTGGACTTAAAGCTCTCATTCCTGTGTCTGATTGGAAACCCTCCAAAGGTTTGAAAAGCCTTTGTGAAAAGAAAACATAAACTTGTGTATTTTCTGTTTAGAGTGAATGAGATGTTAATGTTCTGCAGGCAAGATAACCCATGGATGTTTGAAATTTTACATTTAAATCTGTATGTGGATACTTCACATATGATTTTCACAGCCACTGTGTATTTCTAACTGCTGGCGAGGTTGCTGGATATATGTAAGAGCAGTAAGCAAGACAATGTAAGTACTTTGCTCGAGGAGTGCCTGTATGAATGCATGGACTATTAGGAATTTCACTTTAATGGTAGGCCTTTAAGAAAGAAAATATAAGAACCACCCAGGACAAAATTCAGGCAGTTTCAGTACAGCTCTTGGCTTTACTGCAGAGTTTTGAAATCTGTGATTGTCAGGTCAATTGCAAAGATGCCAAAAATGAGATTCTCATTGTCTGAGGTGATTCCAGAGCAAATTAACTACATTTAAAATTGTGGGTTATTTTCTTTCGCTTGAATTCCCCACTATAAAATGGCCTGACTGCAGAGCTAGAAGCCACCTGTCTTCCAGGAGAGGAATTTGAGTTACCACAGCTATTTTCCAGAAGTCACAGAAACACTGATGATTATAGTACAAAGAAATGTACTTATAGTACATTTATACATATAGTACATATAGTACATATAAATGTTCTTATGGCTTAAGAGCCATAAGAAATTGGTGAACAATGTTTTTCTTCTAGTAAAATGTGTACATGCAAAAAAAAAAAAAAAAGGAACATGGGATTGCTATAGGTTATGTCATTCAATAAATCATTAGCACAGTTCTTACACATAACAGTAAAGACCTCAGACAATGCAAGTTAATCTGGGTTTGTGAGATTGTCAAGTAGAATTTAAAATGTGGATTTAGAAGACCTTTGAAAGACATTATTGGTTCTGCCCATTGACTCAAGCCCATTCTGCTTGAACATTTGCAATTAAACAGTATGAGATTCTCTTTAACACTATAGGACTTCAAAACATTTTAAAACAGATTCAGAATCCATAATGTAGAAATGCAAGAACTTTTTTTCTTCTGTTCTAAAGTATATTTACTTTCTCATCCTCTTGGAAGCACTACATCTTACCTTTGTTGCATTTTACAAACAAGCCAAAACAGCAAAATCAAATATTTATGTTGTATTTTGGCTTTGTCCCACACCTTAGGGCCACTAAATTTAGCTACAGTTAACTGCCTTTTTTGTTCCAAACTGCTCTGTTTTCATAGTAATGCTAGTAACAGACACTAGCTGGAAGCTGAATTTCCTGCCAGAAATCAGTGCAGCTAACAGTTCCCCTGAAGGATTTTGATGACTTATATCTCTTTTGCAGTACTTGATCTGATACACTGCTGGGATTACAAGGGTCTTATTCATTCCGCTGAAGTCACTGGAGTGGTTTCCCTGACATACCTTTCACTTGTGAAATCAGAGATTTTTTCCCTGTCTCACATGCCTTAAACAATATTGCTTAAACTAAAAACATCTATTAGGACTTTCTTTAGCTGAGTGACATAGTGCACGTTTCAAGAACTTAAGCATCAAAGACTTTTTATGACTACCCTGTAACTTTTACATAAATGCAACTCAGCGGTTTAACTGTTCTGCCTCAGAAGGTCTAAGATAAGCAAACATGACAGAGATCTGATCATTACATGACTATTACACTTCACTGAAATCTTTTACTTCAAAAAGCCTGAGATCAAGCTCTATAATGGTAGACACAAGAAAGGTGATGCTTCAGAAAGGTACTGACTGAGGGAAATTATTAGTTACACTGGAAATAAATAAACAGAACCCATTCTTCGAGTGGATTGCAAAGAAAAGAATCTTCTCTGTTATGGCTTGAATCCTACTATATAAACATCTTTAAGTGTTGATTTCAGTTAACATCAACCTAATTTATGACATCTAGAGTGAGAGAGCAACCAGAAAGAAAATGTACACATTTGTGTAAACAATCCTTTCCTAGTTCCTCCATGAGGATACCTGCCCAGTGCAAGATACTGAAGGGATTTTGAATCACACGTACTTTCTATTGGGTTGGTCTTGTGTCTCTCATCACCAATGGCAAAATTGCCTCGTGCTGTGTTGCATGGTTCTGTTGTTTGGTGCCTTTGGCTTTTCTTGAAAGCTCAAAAGATTTGTGATTTTCAGAGTACACTCTCAGTTCTTTCTCTAAGCCAGGTTTATTTAAATTTCAAAGAAAATTTCAAAACAGTGTCGTCATTCAGAAACAAGCAAACAAACAAACAAAAAATTCATCCTCATGGATTTCACCATTCCCTAGGTTTTTACTATAAATATTTTGTGACTGGTGATGAGATTTTAGACTAAATTTATTCATATTGCCACCTCAGAGGTGTTATCTTGGGGCAGCTTGCTACCACTAACAGCCTTTCCTTGATTTTTTTCCTAAGACAATTGTTTCTACAGTTGTACCAGAGGAAACAAACAAACAAACAAACAAACAAAACAAAACAAAAAAAAAAAAGAAAGAAAGAAAGGAAGAAAGAAAGAGAGAAAGAAACAGTGCAAAAATATGCTCTCCATGACATCACATGCAATGAAATAGTTTTCCTACATATTTTGGCATTTATTTTATAATAAGACACAGCAGTACTTTAGCAAGACATTTTAGTAGCACCAGAAGTACTATTGATGAAATGAATGTGTAAAATGTAGAATAATGCTTAATTTATAATCCTACTTCTCCTGTAGATTTTGAACTGCATGTTCAGAAGCCTTGCAGTGTATTTTAGGGTTCTGATGCAGTACGTAGACTAAATTGTGTTTTTGAGGATTGCTTTGAACAGGAGTAGAATATTCTGATGCCCACATGATTTTCAGAACGGTTGACAAAGAAGTGCTCATATTCTGTTTTATGAGAAATAGCATCATTTATGATACCAGATTGAAAGTAATAAACACTGACAAGTTACTGCATGCATAGATAAACCACTCAGGAAAGTTTGTTGGCTGACTCATTGAGAGTTATCTTTTCCACACAGCTGCTCCATTGTATTGTAAAGCCTGTTCTGGAGTTTGTACTTGCCCTGTTTTGCTGTGGCAGTTTCAGGCACATCCACCTGGTTCTGGAAGTTGTCACATTATCCATGTGGGTCATAACTGGTAAGAAGCTTACGTTTTACAAGAAATGCATGTCACAAAGCAAACACAAGTGACAAAGGTATAATAGGCAGTGATGATCTTATCCCAGGACTCTCAACATCACCCTCTTCTACCACTTGCTCCTGTATCAATCCCTGTATTTCACATAATGGCTTTATTTGCAGTCCACTCATTGAAAACAGCAGGCAAAATGAAAAATAACATCCATACTTCTCATAGGTGATCCTATGCTGTCAAGCCTCCTGAGGCCTGCAGAGCACCAGTGTCTCAATTATTGCAAGTACTGATAGATCCAACATAAGAGCTCAGAGTTACTTATGTGATTGCAGTGTCTGATGGAAAGAGAATGTTTAACTCTTTGTGGTCTAGCCATTAATTCACTGGAAAACTAAAAGAAAGAATATTTGCCTATTCACAACAATGGCAGAAGCAACTTCTTGCATTTGTGACAGAATAGGCTGGAATGGACACCTATTTCTTGTTTTGTTCAGGGCTCTTCATTTTCAGTCCAGAAATTTTTGCTTTTAATAATACTTGGCTATGTTAGGACTAATGGGATTTCTCTTTCCAAATGTTTCATAGGCTGTGGTGTCATTTCACCTTTTTTGTCCAGGAACAGTTACCTTTTAATCACTGAACTGTTGTAAAGCTTGTAACTACAACTAAACATTGCATGGTCTTTCCCTCTTATTATTTCTTGCCTGATGATCTCCCAGTAACCCACATTATGGCTTCATTCTCTCTTTCACGTCTGCTCCCATAGCCTCAGCAGTCACTCCTTTGACAGGGAAGCGTTAGGTCTGGTTGCTCAGGTGCAGCTCACTGGCTACTGGTGTACTGTGGAGAGCTATGACAGTTTCATCCATCTGTCCACCCCATCTCCCTCTTTTGTGTCCCAGTCACCACAATAAAATGCAGCAAAATATAACATTATTGCAGCACCTCTTAGTGCAACCTCATTAAGAAATCAAGTTTTTCTCCTTGGATCTTTTAGCCAGGAGGTATATGAAAGGTAGGGCAGCAATACTATGTGTGAAACCTCTGCTCCCATAAATCCTGAGTTTTGTCCATCACTGTTTTTTCGCTCAAATAAAAACAGTGTTAGCAATTTTCTGAGTAGATGATGTAGTGACTGCAGGCTCTTACGCAGCAGATTTGCGAGCAGCCCTCTCCGAGAGTGCTTCACCCTACCCGTGGGTCCGGATGAGCCTACAGTTCCACCTTGAGGCTGACGCACAAACTTCTTGTCAGTGACATTAAGAGCTTGCCCTTAATGGTAAGAAATAAATCAACACCACCTCTAAAAACGGTCTGTCTGTATGTCTAGTTCTGCGCTTCTTATTGCGTTCATTCCATTTAACCATTATTTGTGCTTAAGATTGTTTTGCTCTCACCCTGGAAGCTACAGCAGTGGTGTGACAGAAGTTGCGCCCTACTATTATCTCTAGTTGTTCACATATTAGTGTTATTAGATACAATCACATGTCCCCAAAAAGGTTACAAATGGGAGACTTAATTGATACTTACACATGACTTAGCTTCTGGAACTGGGAATTTTCACTTTCTCAGTTGGCTTCATGCCAAACAGCACAGGTTCGAAGTAAATCTGTGGGACTCAAACCACCTCTATGATAAGAAAAGTGTTCTGCCTTTGTTTCCAAACTTTTGTTCTTCCACATCAGCCATTTTTTCTATACTTTATCCTTGTTGTTGGACATAGATTGGGAGCCCCTACACTTGAGGCCTCTCCCTGCCCACTCACTGACTTGTACAGGCACCTGAACAGGTCCTTAGCCACGTTCCCCAAGCAAAAGCTGGCTTAACCCTTCCTCAGTATTTCATATTTAGTCTTGAGTGCACTGTCCATTCCTTGTTTGTTTGTTTGTTTATTTTTCTCCTAATTTGCCTGATATTCTGGTCTGTAATTTCCCAAACTCCAAAATCTACTTTTCTAAACTGTGCTTCTTGGCCAATTTCAAATCTGGTACCAAGGCATGTTTACATGAGAGTTCTGATTGTATTGTGTCTATACATTCATCTTCCTTTTATTCTTTCAATACTTGATGACTCTTTAAACTTCAGAAGCTATTTTTAAAAAGGCTTAATAGCTCCCTTGACACTATTTAATTGCAGATTTTTAAAACAACTTTCCAACATAAATGTGTTATTTCCCTGCCTGCCAAAGAATGAATAAAACATTCTCAGCAGGCTTTTAACTCTAATACATAGGTGCTAACAGCTCTGACACCCCTTCAACCAGCAGGAGAGTAATTTTATTCTAGCTTTGCCAAATGAAATAAAAAATTTTGTCCAGACGAGCTTTCTCAGCCAAATAGCATCCCTGGGGCTACCCCACCTAGTGGTACTTCTACTCTACTGCATCTTTATTATCCTAGGGTTATGGAACAGACACTGCTCTAGATTCAGGAGTGCTTCCCTGTGTTACTTTGTTGTTGATATAAATTAGATAAAATTATTGATATTGATGCCTATATTAGAATGGTGGAGTTTTGTTTCTTTAGAGATCAGAGAAAAGGTTCAAATGCATAATTAGAAATGTCTCTAAGGTGTGAAGAACTAAGAAACAAGCTCAGTGTAATAAGTGGTTAGCACATCAAATTACTTTCATTAGTGCATAGCACTTACATAAACCTTTTGAGTACAGCATAGTTTTCTGAGTTAATGTACCAAAGAAGGGTTGCAATAAGATGTTTCTTAAAATGGACTTGATGGAAAATAGAGATAAGGAAAATCAGAAGACATTGGGGTAGACAACATAAGGGTTGACATAAATAATTTTTACATTCACAAAAATCTCTGACAAAAAAAGGGCAGCATTTTGCTTGTCTTTAGGTTTCTAAATTTAAAATGTACCTTTTTACAAGATAAATTTAAAATAGAATATTCTACTTCCAACATGAATGTTTGAATGTATTCTATATTCAGTCATAAAAGGTTTCTCTTCCAAGAACATTTTCAGAGCAAACGATCCAAATTATTATAATACTGTAGTGCAGAGGCCCCAGAAGCTTGTGAAAGTTAATTGTTGCAGTGGTATGTACAACATGACCACAGATTTAAGTTCTGGGATACAAAGAACTGAAAACACCAGGATTTTAGAGCTTTACCTCAATTATTTTTAATTACATTTGACTATATGCTTGCATTACTGTGATAAGGTCAAAAGCAGTTAAAATAAAGCTCTTTGAGTAAATACATCATAGATGTAATGTCCAGCACAGCAGCTCTTGGGACATGGAGTGAAGCAAGAGCAACGGCCTGTGTAAGTCTGTGCACATTTTGCTGCCACAAGATGTCAGTGCAAGCTCACCAGTTGCCTGCAGCACAAGCCTGGCCAGCAGTAGGAGACTCCCTTGCTCAGCTACTTCCTTACATCAGTTTGGGTACCCAGCACACCCCTTTCAGCACACTGTAAGAGATCATACTTTTTATTTTGCAGCATCGAGTTATGCATGTGTCTGCAGCATGGAATCCATTACACAGGGAAAAAAAAACACGTCCTGTTGGTGTGGAATGGGCAAAGCAGAAGGATCCAGCCCCAGGAAGAATATCACTTCTGATGACATTTCAGGTAACATAGGTGGCTGACTGTGAACAGCAGAGTCCTATTTCTTTCCTAAAACATTCATAAAATCATAGAATCACAGACTGCCTTGAGTTGGAAGGGACCTTAAAACCCATCCAGAACCAACCCCCTGCTGTGGGCTGATTGCCACCCACCAGATCAGGCTGCCTGGGATCCAATCCAACCTGCTCTTGAATGCCTGTGGGATGGGACACCCACAGCTTCTCTGGGATCTTATTTAAGAGCAAATTGATTATGTCACATTTCAAGGGAATGATACCAGATTGAACACTCAGGTCACTTTTGAAGAAAGGGCCAATGGCCTGAGAATCCTCAATTTCAGGTTATTTTACTAGATATTCCTTAATTTTTTACAAAGGTATCTGAAATTTATTGCTCTAAATCAAAGCATAAAAATTCAGTGCCCACTCCTGTAGCACTTCTGACTGCTACAGAAGCATGCAGGGATCATGTAACTACGGGGTGCTTTGGATGAGGAACATTTGGCTCCCCAACTAAATTCCTCTAGTAATAGCTGGACATTTACTGTTCAGGCTCAGTTCCTGTTTCTGCAATATCTTTAGAACAAAATGTCACACCTGAAATTACTTCCATTCTTTTACCTGTTCAAACCTGTGCTTTCTGCACAAACTTGGGTTGAGCATACCAGGCAACTTACAGTCCTAAAGACACTCTCATTTCTCTACAGCTTTACAGCTGATTGCACTTCCTCTTCTTGGAGACAGCCTCTGTCATCCAGCAGCCCACGGTTACCTGATGTGAGAGCTGCCTTCTGTAAGTGTGGTATTGGTTCCCTAGTGTGGATAGCATAGTGGCATCTGGGACAACACCGTCCCAGAGGATGAATTTGCATTTCTAGAGAGGAGCTTGTTCAGATTCTTCACTTGCAGGAACATGTGTACTGGCTGGAAGCAAGGCATTGCCAGCAGGGCTGAGTGACATGTTCAGGGGGATCAAGTTTCAGACTCAAAGACACACCCTGTAAACAACTGAATAGGGAAGAATATTTCCAGAATTTCAATATCTCCTAAACAGTTATTAACTTGTTTATATTACTTTACACAAGGTGTGTAGTTCACAGTCCTAATCAGAATGCGATTTTACACACTGCTGTGTTCCATCTGCTTCTGTTCTCATCTGTCTTCGTTATTCCAAAGTACTTATCAACTAGAAAGAAATTCAGACATCTTCATCAATGAGATCAAGTTTTAATCTAATTTTCATGAAACCTAGCATCGTTTGTGAATGTGTTAACCAAGCACCAAGAGAAGATTTATCACTTCAGATTTCAAGACATTCTGTGCCATGCAACACCACTGAAATGCTACCGCCTCTGCCACAGAGCTGGCACGTAACTGCCACCCATAGCAAGCAGCATTCACTGTGCTCTAGGACCCTGCTCAGAAGAGTTTGAGTCTTGGATAGCTGAATGAAAAGAAAAAATGTGATCTACAAGGTCAAACACAGAGAGAAGAATATGAGATGACACAGTAAGTATGCGACTGTATTTACTTTTTGTAACGGGTGCTAGATAGCTGAACTCCTCCTGAAAGGGTTATTTGGTATTGTAATAGAAAAGCAGCATTATGCAAGGATAGAAGGGATTTGGAACAAGCAGTTACAGTGTCTAGTAGGTGATTTTAAGAAAGAAGAGCAAATAGAGCTAAGAAATGTCTTTTTGTCAGAGGGAAGACTTGGAGAAAACCGGAGGTCTCCTTAGACCACCACACAAGGCAGAACATCACACAGTCAATCCCATTTGTTCTGCTTTGTACTTTCCTCTTCATAGTGCTCTCCATGTTCATGTGATATTTTAAAAAGCAAAATAACACCTAAGTGCTACAGATCATTTCCTGCTGTCCATTTAGATATCTAATGCAGTACAAACAGTACAAAAATTTTTTGGTGTACTTCAGGGTGTTACTTGCTTACCTAGTCAATATTCAGTATAGAAATGAAAGTTTTCAAGTCTCAGATTTCACAGTTTCTCTGCAAGCTTCCCAGCAGCTTGATGTATCACTCAAGTTAGTTGTGCTTGGCAGCATACAATGAAGAAGTGTCTGCTGTGCAGGGACACCAGGACACAATGTGAAAAATGTCTGCATGGCACAGCTGTGTTGAGCAAAGGCGAGTGGGCAGCTCAGACAGAAGCGGGCTGCAATTGCTATGCATTCCTTCCATGCCCCCTTGCCTCTGATTCTTCACTTCATAACTGCATAACAAAAACTCATGAATGCTATTTCTCATGCTATTCTTTTTCAACCTTGATGCTTTCATTACTCTAAAAGCTACATACAAGGGCTGCTCAAAAATTAATGCCTCCTATTTTATAATGCTGTCCGACAATGTCAGAGGTGGATGTTGGTGGTATGGCAGTAGAAGTAGAACTGTCCTGCAAATACTGTTTTATTTTGATGCCATGTGACAGGTGGCAGCAGAGAGGCAGTCTGACAGAATGGCATCTGATGTAGAGGTGGTATGGAGCAAAGGCGTATCATTGAATTCCTCCATGCAGAAACAGTGGCATCCCTTGACATTCATCGATGCTTGTTCAGTATTGAGGGGAGACCCACTAATTGATTTAAGCACAGAGAGACTGTGTGTGGTGCATCAGCAGTGGTGACAGCAACATAAAAGACAAGCTACTTCCTAGACAGCCATGCACAGCTGTCACTTCCAGTGGCTTGCAGGCTCTTATTCATCACTGGTGAAAGAGCATAGTTAATGGTGAAGTCTGTGTTGAAAAGTAGTGTTTTGTAGCTGTGAATTTGCTCTATCAAATATTACTGTTATGCTCTTTTTATCTGTTATAGTTTCTGTGGAAATTAATAGGTAGCTTTAAGGCAACCATAATGGTATCTGAAGCTCAGTGTGCTTTGCTGGAACAGACTGTCTTCATCTGTTGCTGAGGATCGATTCTGTACAAGTCTAGTTTTAGTGGCAGTTTAAGTTTTATTAATATTTTGCTGATAAATAGCAAATTTTGAGTATATATAATTCTTAGTAGCACTTAATCAGCACTTAATCATTAGCCAATTTAACACATGATTTAATGGAAAGTCCTGCAATCAAATACAGCAACTTAATGGTTCAAGATTGGCAAGATAGACCTGGAACATGAAGGGCAATTCAAGCAGAAATTTCTAAACTTCACTGCACAGACAAGGACCTTTTCCCTTGGTAAATTACTCTCTTCCTGTTCACCGGCTCTCAGCAATCAATGGGATCTATCCCAGAAGGGCCTCTTTTTCTTTAACACTGACCCCCCCCCCCAAAAAAAAGAAAAAAAAAAGCCTACCCTGAGTGGTGTCTCAGGTCAGAGGGAGATCAAAGGTCACAGCCCACTGTAGACCGCAGGAGCTCAGAGGACTCTTTGCATAGGACCCTTGTTTATAGGACCTTGAGATAATTGATTTTAGTAAAGTTTTCTACTCTGGCCAGAAGCAGAGGAAGCAATTATTGGATAAGATAATAATTTGGTGAGTTCTGGAACGTTCTCCGCAAGTTGTGCTGTTCTAATACTCTCCAGCTTGTACTGTTTTGGTACCCGTTAGCTCAAGCTGTGTCTCAAGGAGCAGGAATTCTTGTCACCAACAGGGAGTATCGGGTCATCCCAACTTACTACACTTCATGCAAGATCAAAGCACAATGGTAGTTTGATCACAGAGTGATATGGGAAGCTGCACCACCACATCTGTTCACTAGAAGCTATGGTTTGTAATGGCTGTTAAAGAAAATCTGACTTTCTTCTGGAGAGAGGCTGGATTAAATGAAGCAGAAGAAGCGTCAGTGTGCTCTTCAGACCACTTGTCTGAGTACCTAGCCATGAGAAAACAATACAGTAGCTGATGTTTTTCCAGGTGACTTGTGGTTCAGTCTCCTAGGTCTGCTAGTGATTATATTTTTATTAAGAGGTTATTTTCCTTCAGTAGTGACAGAGTTTCATCAATCTGCACCATCAAGAAATTTGATCAAGTTACTATCATGTAAAATATGGAGATGACAAATAGCTTTGTATCACACAATTTTAATGAAGATTAGTTTATATTCTCAGTCTCAGTAGAATATCCTCCTCCCTTATCCTTCCCATTTTCTTGCAGTTTGTAAGTTCTAGTAATGCTGGGTAGCAAGGTTGTCAGCCTTTGTTAAAGTTGTTTACATTCGGTGCTCCAATACAGAGTATTATCTGAAAAAAGAGTACTTTCTGTTAGCAAGTATAAGCACAGTGATATCTAGAAATTTTTAACCACTTAAACATTATATATAAACAATGACAAGGTGTTTACGTGAATACTCTTTCACTCAGATCCAACTCCAGCATTTAACATTAGGAAGTTTTTAATAAATAGGGATTATTCAGTTTCAATTGCTAAGAAGGAATATTTTTTAAAATATATCTTCCATTTTATACATAAAAAAAATTGCTTGTTAGTACTGGTCTGATATTTGCCAGAGACCTGAATGTGGTGCTCAGGGACATGATTTAGCAGAGGGTTGTTAGATTTAGGGTAGTATGGTTAGGTTGTGGTTGGACTTGATGATCTTTAAGGTCTTTTTCAACCTGAGCAATTCTATGATTCTATGATTCTGCATGATCAGAATATTTTTAAAACAAGAACGAAATAGGTGAACAATCCATGTTATGACTTAGCTTCTTTTAGAAGGAAGTAATTAAAGAAGAATAATTAAGTGTGTGTGTGTGTGTGTGTGTGTAAGTAAAAGAATGTGTAGGACCTGTTTATGGAGTTAAGAAAAAAAGTATGCTAGGAGGTTTTTTGGTCTGAAAATCTTTAGAACAAGGAGCAAGGGCTTAGAAGAGCTGTGAAGGCTGGCTAGGTGTGATAGCAGTTTTTTTGTGCAGGATGTTTCTTTCTGGTTCTGCCCTTAACAATATTTATGAGCTCCAAGCAATGAAAATGCATGTATGCTTTTATGAAGGTCTGGACTATCAAAAGCATGACTTAATGGGGCATATGGTCAACACTAAGCTATGATGCATGACTAATGCTGGTTCAGTCTGTTAAGTAAGAGCTGCCCATCTAACAGTTTGCTTATGAGGTTAAAGGCAGTGCTGCTTGTAGGCAGATTTCTACTCAGGCAAAGGTTAGTGCCTGTGACACCTCAGTTCTTCCAGCTGTGTGAAATACCATAGCTGTTGGCGCATGAACTTGCCATAAACAGCAGGTTCTGCTCCTTCTGTTTTCTGAAGAGCTTGAAACTCACAAAGTGGTATGTGTGAGGAGTTATGGTCCACAAGGGACTGCCTTGTAAAGGCTGTATGTTTTGCATGTTTAGTTGTCGGAGCTAATCGTTAATCATCATTTTTTAATTCCTACTGGCTATGCTTATCAGCTGTGTCTGTGAAACACCATGCTACACAAATATTGCTGTTGATGCTTGAGTACACTGACAGAAGACTGCATTCTTAAAGAATGGGTAATCCTTTGCAGAGTAAACCCAGTTGTTCTGAATTCCCTCATTCGTTGCTATTAATGATGCCTCCTGACAACTTCTATAATGTAAAGCAAAGAATTTGACTGTGAAATTCAGATCCTGTCATTTGAGACTCAGAATTCTGCCTCAGAAGGTCCAAGAAGCCATTTCCACATTTGGAAATGCTGATCAGAAGTTGTCCATGAACAGCTGTTTGCAAACAATATTGAGGACTTTTTTTCTACTTCACAATGAAAAATATCTCTTGTGAGCTTATGTGCACTTACGTTTCTCAAAACATTGCCATTAGAATACAGCATGACTGTATGATCATGCTGTGGCCAATCTCTTTACTGGGACTGTGTACTATAAAAGTGGAAACCTTTGTTTTGTTTGTTGAGTGTGTGTGGGTTTTTTTGGTTTTTTT